AGTCTCATGGCAGTTTTTGACCGGAGATGTCCTTACCTCAGATTTGAATCAAGCCAACTTTGCGAAATACAATGATTTGGTACAGGTATGCTATTACTTTTGCACCCATTTTGGTCGAAAATACGGAGACGCCCATTTTATTATTGCAGGCTTGCTTAAATACTGGAGCGAGCTGCATTATCGATATCCACAACTACGCTAGGTGGAACGGGCAGGTATGTTCCGTTTCTAGTCTCTATTTGTGACTTGTTCAAATTACATGCGTGCATAGATCATCGGTCAAGGTGGACCGAGCAACGACGTCTTCGCTAGCCTTTGGTCAAATATTGCGAAAAACTATGCCTCAAACTCTAAAATCATATTCGGAGTGTAAGTGTGCCTCTTAAAAACTTCTCCTATCAACCCAGCTCATTCTATCCAGTATGAACGAACCCCACGACGTCGACATTAACCTATGGGCAGAATCCGTGCAGGCTGCCGTCACTGCTATCCGAAATGCAGGGTGTGTTTCAAGTCTCATACTCATATATTTGCTTTACTGACAAGCAAGTCTTTGATACTACACTATAGAGCAACCTCCCAAATGATTCTCCTCCCCGGCAACAACTTCACCTCTGCAGGTACTTTCGTTTCCAATGGTTCTGCAGATGCACTCGCCAAAGTCACCAACCCCGATGGAAGCATTACCGGTCTCATTTTCGATGTACACAAGTACCTAGACTCTGACAACTCTGGAACACACACGTATGTTCCCTAGGTTTTATCCTGCTTGAGTATCCTGAGTCTTTCCGATCCTTTCCCCCCAGGGAATGCACCACCAACAACATTAACGATGCATGGGCTCCTCTTGCCCAATGGCTAAGGTGTAACGGTAGACAAGCCTTTAACACCGAGACTGGAGGCGGAAACACCCAATCTTGCATCACTTTCATATGTCAGCAGATTGCTTTCCAGGCACAAAACTCAGACGGTGAGTTTCCTTGATATATTGTCTGAGAATGATTACCTATATTCTCTCCAGTCTTCCTTGGCTATGTAGGCTGGGCAGCAGGTAGCTTCGACCCCGGAACCTATGAATTGGTGAGTGAATGTCTGGATTAGCTGGGCAGGGTTACGTGGCTTATGCTGGTGTAAATTTCTAGTCTGAGGTGCCAACAGGAGGTGGCTCGTCATGGACGGACTCTGCACTCGTCCAGAGTTGTATGGCACCTGTTGCAGGAGCGCAAGATGGCTCGGCAAGCTGAAGGTTTGAGCCTCATAGTATCAGGTCCTTCAATAGCAATACCCATGTAATCACTTCAATTATATAATATTGGGAATAGCAAATATGCTAACTAGTAATTACTGGTTGCGGCTGAGATTGCATGTGGAAAGAATAGTAGTAGGATAAACTGTTTTTTTAACATCGTTTTCGAAGATATGTTCAATGAATATGTTGTCAACAGATCATGGATAGATTCCTCCAATCTACCACTTACAAGATAACAATAAGATAAAACCAATATTAGAAATGTCCGCTTTCTGAAAAACCTACAATATTCCTGCACTTAATACCAATAATACAATATTGGCAGAGGCAGTAATTGCATGTAAAGAACAGTAATAACAAGGCTTGGCCGTCTCTGTTACTCCGGGGACACCTAATGAAGGGCGAACATCTATAGTCATGTAGAAAGATATTAATCTTATTTTCATTCAGAGTGCTAACAACTTCAAAGAGGAATAAAAACAATTAAATATCTAATTTTTCCTTAGGTACCACAAAGGGAAGCCATGATTTCAAAGATATGAGGTGTACAATAGACCGCTTTTTTTCCTTTCTCAAGAAGATATGATGTTCAATGGAGCTCAATATGTTGGACGGATGCCTCCAGTTTACTACCACTTACTACCCCACAGCCCCTAGCCATTTTCTATTGTTTTTTTTTAAAAAAAACTATTTGTTGATGAGTCAATTTACAATAGGCTAATCATCAATGGTACATGAAACCTACTATCCTTGATGAAGAAGAGGGCCGCGCGGCATGTACAAGGTCGATTAAGAATCAGAAAATGACAATCATATGGGACTGCAACTTTTTGGCAAGTCACAACTTTAGAAATGTATTGCTTTTTCGCATCAATGAATCTGTCTCGCTAAAAATTTAAGATCAAATTAACTTGTGAGAAAAACCCGGTGAGCTAGTCAACTTGTCATTTGCCCGGCTTCATGTGCTTGTACAAGCCGAAACAAGCCGGGCAAGAAAGTCAAGCAAAACTTGAATAATCACGATGTTGTGGCATTTCCTAATTTACAGATAAACAATATTATAGTACATCATTTTCATGGTTTTCTAGAGTTGAGTAATCTAGCTATACCGGGAATAGTCAGAAAAGATCCATTTAGAATGGGTCTGCATGGGTGGATCCATCCCTGGTTTTTATCGAGTCAGTGACGAAATAGATGATCTGTTCTTGATCATTCATTTATCCTGTCTTAACGTGATCTGATTGTGGAATTTTAATTTCTTGGATGAGTTCTAGAAAATGATCTCGTCCGAGCCATCCGATGTATGCGGTATAAACCTAGTTTTGGGTTACCAGAGGACGCTCATTGGGAAGTACCACCTGACTTAGACATTGTTCATTTCCTATCCCATGTTTAACCTAGTACAACATGCTAGAGAGGTTCTAGCGTATTGACGAAACCAATACTTAACCTGAGCCCCAGGCATATCGAAACACACGGAATAATCGGAAGATTGAAAATTTGTTAGTCGGGATATGCTGTGCATTACACCATGCCATATTTACTATAAGTCCAGCGATGTCAGATGTCAATTATGCACCACATTCCAAAGACCATGACGATGGATATACCACCCGAATTTTCCTTTGATATTCTTGAGAATGACAAGGAGGAATTGAAATTAAGTCTGTGTATAATGACAGTTGAAGCAGTATCATATGGTGAGCTCCCTTCTGATGGTCTACTTTGAAGACTCAGCATTAATATTCTGCCCTGCATTGTAATCCAGGTATCTTCGTAGCTTTGACTGCTATGTCTGTCCACCTCATTATGTGAGCCAGATTTGCGGCTTTCTCGGGTCTATCATGTATCTGACCAGTCCAATTCAATGGCATGCAAGCCATCAACCAATATCTCAACCTAGAATATTTCTGACATCGGTTTTATCAATCATGTTTATGATATCAACAACCCACCTCATCATCCATTTACTATCTTTTATAAATCAAGTTACATTCACCGGCTCTCAAGGGTCAGAAAGGATTTATATACAACCTTGGAGATGCTGGAAAGAATCGCAGTACGTCTTAATTCCATGTAGATGATTGATCAGCCTCAACTTTTATGACATTACATTACATAGTATTTTCTGAGCGATGTTGTTGTCGTGTGGCGAACATGGGTTATATGGAGTGATAGTATCCTCGTTAGAGCGTTCCTTATTTTATGTATTGTTGCAACAGCAGGTACGTTGTTGTCCACTCTGAGGCTAAAAGAAATAACTTGAGTATCAATTTATTTAAAGCCACTTCGATCACTTTAGCTGTGTTCAATATTTTTGAAAATTATTATAAAGGCAACATTTATCCAGATATTGAAAAAAATGAACTGGGGACATTTTGCCTTTTATTTACCAACTTGAGCACGACTTTGCTCATTGCATACAAAGCCTGGTATATCGGCATCTTGTATAATATGCTGGACTTTTACTGAGTATTCTGTTAGGCTGTACCGCCGCTTTCTCCATCAGTACTTTGAAAAAGAGAGTTTGGACGGTGCTGTGAATAAGGTTTTCCTGATTCTAATTGAATCCGGAATGTTATACTGTGTGTTTTGGGTATGTATCAATAGAGTCTTTCTTTTTAATTTCGATGTTCAAAGATGTTTTTACTGCCACTGCCGTTGAAATATAGGTCTGCATGGAACTCACTGATTATGGTGTCACTGGGGACTTTGGGTTTGACTGGGTGCTGCCACATTTCTCGGTGGGTCGATGAACTGGATAAGAGAATAAAAGGCTGATTCGACACTTTAGGGTATTTATATGGCATCAATAATTATCCTAGTCTCTTCCAAAAGGTCATGCACTGAAACTATGTTTGCAGGAGCTACGAGCTCAGCAAACGAAACAATCCAGTTTGCAAGGAACTCGGATCCGGTGATGGCGCATGGCGTCTCTACGATTACTTCGGAACACTGATAAAAGTATTAATCGAATTAATGCCTGCATGTACAGAAAGTATATATATACTTGATGTTATTTCTTTAAGTTAAAAACTAAATTGAGGCACTATATAGCATTGATTGATTTATGTGCCTTCTGTATTTACTGTTTTTGGGAGAACAAATATACCAAAAACATACAAGGGCATTTGTATGCGTACATTTTGTACATTCTAAGCTTTTGTCATTAAATATTTTGCACCTGATAGCTGTTTGCAAAATCCCAGAAAAATTTAGTACTACCATTCAATCTCACCAAAATTTTCCAAGGTGCTCTCAGTAAATGCTGGTTTACTGTTTACCCCACGGGTCATACATAGAGAATCGTTTTGTAGTGCACTTTGTAAATGAGTGGAAAAAGACGACTCGTTATATCAAAAATCGAAAGGAAACCTTGACAAAAAGAAAGATATACGGATCAAGTTAATTCCACGTGGAATCAAACTCTAGTCAACCCATACGACATTACTCATCATTATAACATCAAATTTTGCCGACAGTATCTGCTTACCTATACTGAAAACAATTTGGGCAAATTCTGCGCATGTCCTGGTAATTGTAGACCTAAAAGGGTATCTAAATGTATATAGTCCCTCATGTATAGACATTCAAATGAACATAATGTAACTTCTGTAACTGCATGGAAAATGTGTAGCATCCAAAATTGTTTATCCATGAGTAGTCAAGCCGGCGACAAACAGCTTGCAAATAGAGACTTGTGAAAAACGGTTCAGCTACACAAAAACATGAAATTTGTTCAAAGCTGTTATTCCAATGCGGGGAATCGAACCCCGGGCTGCTGTGTTATTTGGATGACCTTCCATGAAAGACAGCAATGTTAGCCACTACACCACATTGGATATAAAGTACTCCTTTTGCGTTCAGATTGTGGGTTCTCTTTCTGAAACGGTTTGTCAACCTATGCATGCAAGAAACTCGTAGTATTGCTATTGCTATTTTCAAATTAGGGTATAGACAAAGACTTATCTGGTCTATCTCTTACGATCTCCTGCGTAAGGTCTTTTTAACAGAATTATATACAATTTTTCATGAGCAGCAAAGAAAACCGAAAACTGTCAGTGGAAATAACAAAAAAAATAATCGTGTCTAGAGGTGCGACATTCCTATGCAGGGAATTGAATGCCGGGCTGCTGTGCGAGGCAAACGTGAGGTGATTGCGATGAAAGACAGCAATGTTAACCAGGGTACCTTCCTACCACCGTAAAGTTTTGACTCGGACAGCCTTGGCAGCTGCTTAGTATCCTCATTAAATCGAGTCACTTTCTTTCCTCTTCGACTCCGAGTACGTCGCAGTGTGTAGAGTCATAACCATCGCCGGATCCGGAAAAAAAGTCGCTTACTCAGCGAGTATATAAACCGGCCTCGTACACAACGTTGTTCACTACTATTCGTTGTATGGAAGCGACTTCTACTCAAACTCAAACGCAAACTCAGAATCAGCCACCAAAGAAACCACGAAATTACAGGAATCGACCTCCAAACAACAACAGTAACACCAATACTCCGACTCCGAGCGAAGATGGAGAAAAGAAGAGGAGACCACCGAGGAGGAATAAGCCGCGAGTAAAGGAAGATAAGGAGGATAAGGAGGATAAAGGCAAAGAAACGGAAAAACCACCTCGTCCCCGCCGAGCACAGAAATTCAATCCATCCCTCACCACCACTACTCCGAATAACGAAGCAGGTCCTTCAAAACCCCGTAATCGATACAAAAACCAAAAGGACCTCGACTCGGCACTAGGCCTGGGCACCGACCTCACCTCCAACCTCATCCGTGGCCTCTCCAAACCGCCCTACGCAGACTGTCCGATTTGTTTCAATGCGATATTCCCTGGACAGTCTATTTGGAGTTGTTCGCCGATGATACCTATTCTCTCCGATGACGCGGACAAGAAAGTCGAGTACTGTTGGACACCGTTCCATCTCAAGTGTATCAAGCCTTGGGCGGAGAAGAGTTTCAATGATGTCAAGGCGGCATGGGTTGCGAGAGGGGAGCCGGAGAAGGGTGGGGAATGGAGGTGTCCTGGATGCCAGGGCAGGAGGAATCGGGTTGTCGGGGGATATCTGTACGTTACGAATACTTTCTGCTACTTTTTACTAACTCTTATTTAGATGTTTCTGCGGCTCAACATCTTCCCCACAAGCCCCCACTTCCCGTCTAACAACGCCTCATTCCTGTGGAAACCGCTGCAGTCGTCCCCGAGAAAGCTGCTCACATCCATGCCCACTACTTTGTCATCCTGGTCCCTGTCCGCCATGCAAAGTCGTCATGGACGTACGATGTCATTGCATCCGACAAAAAGTCATTGGTGTTTTATGCGGAGATGCTCGTACAGAGAACACGGCCTCCTCAGCACCGACAAGTTTTTCGTGCGGCGAACCATGTCATAAACCTCTTTCGTGCGGAAATCCAGCGCATGTATGTACGAAACCGTGCCATCTCGGTCCGTGCGATGCCTGTCCCGAGAGACTTAAACAGAAATGTTGGTGTGGCAAGGAAGAGAGGGAGGTTCCGTGTGGGGAGGGAGAGACTTGGGCTGATGGTGAAGGTGTAGGATGTGATGGCGCCTTTGTATCCGTCGAGGCATTGGCGAGACGGTCCTTCCGCTGCGCTCAGCCCTGCAGCAAGCCATTCAATTGCGGAAAACATTTCTGCGAGAAACCGTGTCATCCTCCGAGCCCCAACTCTGAAATAGCACACTGTCCATCTTCTCCTGATATGATCAAAACGTGTCCTTGTGGGAAGCGTGATATCGCTTCTTCTACTTCGACCTCTGCAGATGCGTTCCCTCCCCGAACGTCATGCACATCCCCAATTCCCACCTGCTCCTCTCCTTGCCTCAAACCGCTGACCACCTGCGAGCACACCTGTCAATCCAAATGTCACACCGGCCCTTGCCCTCCTTGTTCAGTCGAATTAACCCGACCTTGTCGGTGCGGAGGCAAGGTATCTAAGATCCAATGCAGCTCCCTCCAAACACAGGAAGAACGAGGCGAGCCCTTGGTCTGCGACAAACCTTGTTTGGCTCTACGTTCATGCGGTAAACATCAATGTGGACGAATTTGTTGCCCACTCGCTTCCTTCAGTACCGCTGGCGCATCATCCTCAAAGGTTTCCTCGAAGAAGAAAGCAGCGTTGGCAGCAGCTGCGGCTCCGGACCCTCTGGGTTTGCATGAATGCGAGTTGATTTGTGGAAAGCCTCTTAGTTGTGGGAATCATACGTGCGAGGAGAAGGATCATAGAGGGCCTTGTAAGCCTTGTTTGAGGAGTGGGTTTGATGAAGTGCGTACTTTTCTTTTCCTTCTTTCTTCGACTACCTAGGTACTAATACCAAAAAACAGATGACGTGTTTCTGTGGTCAAACAACCCTCTTCCCCCCAATTCCTTGTGGGACCACTCTTGCGTCTGTATCTAAAACATGTCCTCACCCGTGTCCGTTGCCTCCTCCGGCTTGTGGACACGAAAAAGTCCCTCATACGTGTCATGCACCACCAGAGGTGGACGAGGCTAGCGGATCACCATGTCCAGGATGTGTAAGGCTGGTTACGAAGAGGTGTGCTTGTGGCAAGAAGGAAGTGCCTAATGTACGATGTTCGTTGGAGAGGGAAAAGGTTGGGTGTGGGTTGGTTTGTGGACGGTGAGTTTCTCATCTCACCCTTGCGTCCTTTCGATCTCAAACCGACGTAATCGTATGCAGACTCTTGAGCTGCGGCTTCCACAAATGCGAAAGAAAATGTCATTCGGAGAGTGAAGATTGTGGACAGTGTACGAGTGTTTGTGGGAAGGATCGCAAGCTGTGGTACGTCTTTTCTTCTCCATTATACGGCCATTATACGATAACTAACGCAACGCATATATATAGCCTCCCAGCACATCATCCCTGTTCCCATCCATGCCATGCCCCATCTGTATGTAACGAAGACACACCATGTCAATCACTCGTCTCTATCACTTGTCCATGTGGGAGGATTAAGCAATCCGTACGGTGTGGACGAAGCACGTCGAACCTTTCTGGTACGGGCGAAGCAAAGGGAAAAGAGCTCAAGTGTAACTCGGATTGTGGGATTGCGGAGAGAAATCGGAGGTTGGCTGATGCATTGGGGATATCTACTTCTAGAGGAGCTGGAGTAGTCAGTGGTGGTGGGGTAGGAGCAGGAGGGGAAGTGGTGTATAATGATGAAGTGGTTAGTTTTGCGAGGCGAGAAGGGAGGTTTTTGGGTGTTGTTGAGAGGGCTTTTGCAGAGTGCGTAACTTGTCCGTTTTCAAGTCTTCTTTGGATACTGATATGCTGGTTTAGTTTCGTCACCTCGAGTAAGAGGAGTCAAGTCTTACCGCATATGCCGCCTGAGAGGAGAAAGTTTGTACATGATGTACGTTTCTAGTTGTTTTCTAGCTGTCTGTTTTCGCTTTCTGATCTCTTTTCTCGTGCAGTTGGCAGCGGTGTATAGAATGGACACGCAGTTGATTGACCAGGAGCCTTATAGAAGGTGCGTTACCTCCCTACTAATGTACTCTCGAGACTAACAATTTCCTTTCTTGTAGCGTTCAGATAATTCGCCGAATAGACACACGAATCCCTACGCCTACGCTTTCTTCCCATATCTCCAGTTTGGGACCTTTAGCATCCTCCTCTTCCTCTGCATTGGGTAAACTGGCGGATATTCGACTTGGGTCCGGAGCTGGAGGAGGGCCGTGGAGGAGTGCTACTGCGACTACGACTACTGGTCCAGTGACGGCAAAAGCACAAGCAGGTGCAGGGAACGCAAGTTCAAGCTCGAATAGAGGGTGGACTTCGGTCGTTGCTCCTTCTACGACGAATACAGGACCAGGATCAGGAACGACTTCACCATGGGGTGGTTCTCGATCTACGACGCCTCTGCCTCAGGGTCGGTCTGCCGGTCCTGGAGCTGGTTCAAGCGTACAGCGCACCCCAGCTGCGGCTCCGAAAGTTGATAATGGTCCAGGTGAGGAAGGGTTGCGTGAACCAGTTGCGGTTCCGGATGATTGGGAGGATGATGCTTAGACAGGAATGAATGGAAAATTGGTTATGGTAGATCTTGATGCCTGGAATATATAACTCTGGCAGCAAATTGGCGTGATTCCAAGAAGTTAAAGAAACAATACAGGGGAATTATGATGGGAGTTACTATAAAATTAATTTGAGAATTTCATTGTAACAAAGGCTCAGTCTGTCTCTGTCACACCAAACAGAATGCAATAAAGGTCAAGAATACTACCAAAAGTAAAATGAACGCTCTTATCTAAGTACAGGACAATAGATATTCAATGGTAGTAGAGGTAAGAAGAAATGCCAGAGTGATTTCAAATAATTTGTTTCTGTGGTCATAGATCGCAATGACATAAATCCGAATTAGTTGCAGCAGCAATACTGTGAAAAAAGGATTAATGATTTAACTTTAGGTGAAACATGGCATCATAAAGGAACACCGTACTTTTAAAGATTGCTCATAATAATACAACTCATTCGTCTTGCATCAGTATTTTGACGAGTTACTGGTTTTAACTGGTACCAGCTGGTACCGGTCAAAACCAGTAATCCAGTCACCAGTGCACCAACCGAAAATTTTTTCCTACCAGTAAACTGTCAGTAAAGTATGCATAATATCGTGGTAAGTGCAGAAGACCTCACGGATGATGCCTAAACTGTCTTGGCATCACGTATCACATTGTCGGCAATATTCCTGACATCACCTGGTGTAATACAATTGCTGCTGTCGTTGTCAAGGACGATGTTCGGGGCCTATCCGACGCATTCCCGACACAGCACTGACAACCCTGACAAATTACACAGAGTTGCTTAAAGTGTTTTTTGGATAT